GCAACCATGTGAGCTCTATTTTCTAACAAGTTACAGCTGCCCCGAGGCCCATGACAGTTTCACGCAGGACACAGAAAATGTCTGAAAATGCACGGTGGGTTTAGATTCAGTGCAAAATGTGATGTTCTGTAAATGTGAGATGAATCTTGAAAAAATGAACAGGTGATATTGCTTCGCTAAGATTTAGGTGACAGGTGTAATATCCATGAGTTGACTCGTCTCCTTTGAAACAAGTCGGCTTCTTATCTTTTAAAAAGAACAAACTATCAGCTTGAAATGAGACATTTATGAAGCTGAGAGATTTTGATCACTGAGGTGTGACAGCAAACCTATCAAAGCTGTTACCTACTGAACTTTTAACAGGTCTTTTGAGTATTCAGTGATGAAAGAAATGTGCTTCAAAACTTCTAAAGCACATTTAAAGATCATGAATATGTGCAGAACACCAATTGCACTGACAAAATCTCACACCGCAACAATTTTAAGCTATTAAAGTCCAAGTTTTTAATGACATAAAAGAAATCAATCCATGAGCTGCCTGTTCGTTTATAAAGGACCTCATATCTTCACCACAGACTCTGTATGTTAAACTGGACTGGTTTGACCTCCACTGTCTCCATTTCTAAAGTTCAACCTCAGACTAAACAGTTACAAATTTGAACTTCACAATTTTTCTTTTAAAAATTTCAACTTTTACTACACAAAAAGCTAACAGAAAAAAGGAGTGAAATATATGAAAATGAAAACATATTGTAAATGAAAATATTCTTAATACAACTATCTGAATATTAGAGACAAAACGTAGCTTAGTTAGAGAAAAATCAGGCCTGTTATTTAGGCTCCAAACCAGCTAAAGAACAGAAGAAAATAATGAATGTTTCATTAGAAAATATAATGTAATCACTGCAGAAGTGTTTTTGAGGCCTGCTGAGACAAATTCACTATTAATAAACAAAGCAAAAAAGTTCGCTTCTTTCTTTCTCTCTCTTTTTTTTATATTTTATTCCTTAAAAGAAAAATACGTTAATGAGAAAGATAACATTGAATTTTCAAAATAATGGTCAGAACTTCGTTAAACATCGGACATCTCTCGTTTGGAAAATATTCTAAAGGCCACGACGCTTTTCTGTCTCTGTTTGCTCGATTATCACAGATTTTAATAATTATGAGCTACTTTAATTAATACACGATAGGCTACAATGAAAAGCTTATTTACACTTTTGAATTTTTGCGTTTCACCTGTCTGAGGAAAAAAAACTTTTCAAAACGTTTGCTTTGATTAGGAGTCTATTCGTCTGATCAGACACATCTTTAGGAAAAAGAGAATTTGGTCTGTATACAACTTGTATTGTCCGACGATTTATAAAAAGAGAGAGACCACATACTAGACTATTGTTTTCGTTTTAATCGATTTTTTTTTCAGTAAAATCTTGCATCGGGTAATAATGTAAAATTCTAACACTTAACTTTTCTAATCTCTTTTCTTTTTGATTTCTTATATATATCTTAAATATAAATCAATATCAGCAACGAAACCAATTTAATATGAAACGGAATCTATAAGTCTAATTGTAAAATAAAACGTCGAAAGATAACAAAGGAGAAATGTTACAGGAACAATATAGGAAACACCACGGGAAATCAAACATGTTTAGTCCTCCGCAGTTCGGCTTTACATAAAGTCAGTGAGGCGATATGAAATAAAATCCTCATATAGACTAAGTATTAATGTCACTACAATATAAAGAAGCCTAACACTCTCCATTGAGTCGCTTTAACCTGTAAGAAAGTTATAGTAATGCAAGGCTGTTTTTACCCAGTAGGCTATAGATCTATAATCTATAATCTACAATAATAATAATAATAAAATGCAATGTTAACTACATTTTAAGAGGACATTTAGATTCTGACTTCTGCCGTGGATGTTTTCACCTAGTGACACACGCTCTGACGACGTGAAAACCACCTTGCCCTGTCAGACACACTCCCTGGGGGGCCGCGCACATCCAGCTGCACTAACCAAACACCGAACCGCAGCTTCTTCCAGCCCCTCTGGTCAGTGCGAACCTAACGAACAAACCGCACATTTGAAACACTTTCCCGCTCAATAACAGCATCGGTTCCTTCACGTCGTCCGATTACAGACAAAAAAAAAAAAAAAAACACTCACTTCACAAGCCTCGGAGGCCTCATGCAGGATCCCAGTGTGGCTGGTTGGGTCGACAGACTGCAGCGTGTAGGTGTCCACCCCCCCCCACCCCCCACCCAACCCCAACACACACACACACACACACACACATACACACATACACACATACATACACACACACATACACACACACACTCCATCACCCCCTCATCCCCAAACATAGCCCCCCTACCACCAGCACCAACGAGGCCCAAATCCAGGTGCTGCAGAGAGTATTTAGAAACAGAGAAGTGTCGGGGCGGGAGAAACAGAGAGATCCATGTGTCCAGTCCGCTGCAGAGTATTTTCTATGTGTGCGCGACTAGTGTCTATGCTCGGACATAAGGGGAGAAAGACGCACACATCGCTCTCTGTTATCAATTTTTTCCATGTTTGCAGCACAAAACTGCTTTTTGTTCCCCATTTTTTCATTTACGATGGTTAATGGATAGAGGCTTGGGCGTTTGATCACATGGCTACAATTCACCTGAGATGGAGACAAAGAGAGCAAAGAGAGAGGGAGAGAGAGAGGGGGAGAAAACTGAGAGCCAGCCTCAACATGAGAGGCAACGGACACACAGGGGTTATTGTTGCATTCATTTTGTGCGTGTGTGTGTGTGTGTGTGCGTGTGTGTGTTGTGTGTGTGTGTGTGTGTGTGTGTGTGTGTGTGTGTGTGTGTGTGTGTGTGTCCGGGTGCGCATCAGATGCTGCTTAAAGTCGATTTTCTTCCTTCCCATCAAGCCATGCTTTAACGGCACTGATCGTGGCCTGTAAACACGCATGTACAAATCGGCTATCACGCAGAAAAAATTTAATTTATTCCTGCACCACTCTGGCTTTACGCTCAAAAGATGAGAGAGACTATTAAAATATGCAAGATTAAATTCATATTTCAATGTACTTGAAATGGCGACTTGTATTTGTTTTAAGATTTTTTTTTTTCAAGGATTGAGAGCCACTTTACCTCTCACAGTGCTCCGTTTATCTTTTAATCGCCAGCCTGCATATTTCCAGTCTACATGCCAATTCTTTCGCCAGTTTTTATTCAATAAACAACTTGATCAGACTATTAGATTGGATTATTGATAAGTTAATTGTAATATTGAGAAAATGAAACAATTGCACATTGATCTGCAGTTGAAATATGATGTAGCCTGTTAAGAAACTTAAAGTTCAAATGCTCCTAAATGTTTAACTTGTGATTTCTAAATGCCCACAAATGACGCATGTCGGTGTAACCTCATAATCAAAAGATCAAAAGTTGTTGTTTTCGTTTATTTTTAAAGTTGCATCGTTTTTGCAGACCAGGGTTGGTTCAATAAGGAGAATTTCTGGTACAATAACAGCAGGACAGAAACTTTTCGTTTATTTATTTATTTTTTTATAAAGATTATAAAGCTTTCATGAATTATTTCATGGCCATAGATGGAAACACAGAGATGTTGGGTTCATTACCATTAATTGTATGACACTGACCCAAATATAGCTCGTCACACATAGTCATGCTTTTTGTGATTTTCTTTACATTAAAAAAGTACTTATCTGTTAAACTTGTGTATCTTTAATAGGTTTTCTACAGAAGTTTATCAGACCTGTTTTTTTTTTTAATCATGAGAACTGTAACTGAAATTTGTATTGTTATTTCCTGTATAAAACTGAATCCGGTTAAATCAGAGCGAAACTTAACAAATCATGAGTCTTTTTTTTTTTTTTTTTTTTGAGGAACGTGACCACAGGAGGCAATAACTCTCCTCGTGATTGTTTATTTGTTTCATATAACATGTCAACACGTCCAACAAACCTGGCCTTCTCCTGCCTCTAAATGGCCGCACTGTAGAGTCATTTAAGCCACTCCGATGTAAAATCTCACCTCTTCCCTGTTGGATATGTTGCACGGTGATCGACAGACGGGCATTAATGGTGTATCGCTCCCGGCCAATCAGAGAGCAGCGGGATAATTAGAAGACCAATCGCAGCGCGGTGTGGTGCCGGGGGAGGGGCGGGGCTGACAGTGTGCTGGAATGCTGCCTCTCTGGGAATGTTTTCCACTTTCAATCACACACAAGGCGCTCTTTAAGCTCCGCTGTTGCCACACAGAGCAGCCATTCATCGGCTCTACAGTCAGCCACACACTCCCATGTTGAACCATTGGACATCTAAATTGGTAAGTTATGTAATTTTTTTTTTAAACAAAATTTCTAAGATAAAATGATATATTTCACATCAGCGTTCGTGTGCCAGCTGTGTTCTTCTTATTTTTACTGGAAGAGGTTTGGCCGTAATTTGGCTTTAAAATATTATTTTTCTAGAAGCGGTTCTTCCGTCCTAATGTTATAATTAATATTATTATTTATCATAATCAATGCTATTATTATCATTGTTGTTGTTATTGGCTACAGATTGCCTACCGTTTCGGTTACATGTAGTCCGTTGAAAAGCTGAACCCGTTTAGCTTGAAATAAACCGGGACATGTTTGATTGACAGCTAAACTAAAATTATAATTAACTTGTGGACTTTAATAGTAGGCCTACTAAAGAGTGTCTGATCTATTGCATGTGATCTTTAGGTGTAGCAGCTTTTGCGCAAAAGGATTTCCAGCCGACGGTGGAGAGGACACTTTTACGCAGCAGTATGGCTTTGCCTGAGAAGAGTCAGCAGTAACTGGGATCGTCGTAGACTCCAAACATCTTATTCAGTTAAAACGAATTCATTACACTGAATAGTTTGGACTCTCTCGAAAACTAATTTTGCATTCAAAGGGGGGGTCTTGTCATTAATTGAAAGTAAAATTTGAAAAAAAAAAAAAAAAAATGTCGGGCGAGGAGCACAGCCTGTCCGAGGCGGAGCTGAGTCCCGGAGGGTCAGACGATGGTCATTCACTCTCACCAACTCAACCCGGAGCGCCGCCCGGCCAGGACTCACCTCTGACCGGGCCGCCGCAGCAGCTGACCGCGCTCTGTGTCGCGGATGGCAGCGGGGATGATGGAGGCAGATCCAGAGCCAAATCAGAGGAAGAGGACGATCGCTTCCCGATCGGTATCAGGGAGGCGGTCAGTCAGGTGCTGGACGGATATGACTGGACACTTGTGCCTATGCCGGTGCGCGTAAACAACGGAAACAAAGCAAAGCCCCACGTCAAGAGGCCCATGAACGCCTTCATGGTGTGGGCCCAAGCGGCGAGGAGGAAACTGGCCGACCAATACCCCCACCTGCACAACGCGGAGCTCAGCAAGACCCTGGGCAAACTGTGGAGGTTTGTATGGAGAGGCTGTCCCAGAAAAGAACAGTGTGGCCATACAGTGGCACATTTCCTGTGCAGCCTGTGCGTAAAGTATATGAAGGGATGTAACCTATAGATTCAAGTTGAACATAAAAGTGGGCAAATTATTAACTCAAAATGGTGATTGTTAACGAGGGAAACACTTGGTGCTTGTTATGTTGCGTTTCTTAAAAATGGTGTGAACTTAAAACTTATGCAAACCTAGATTCATACCAGCTAAATGCTGTCCCTGTATTTATCCATTACGCACGAGGTTGATAGCAACTTAATTTTCAGACATATTCAAAGAAAATAGCCTACTTTCCTATTAACTCATAAGACTAAATCACTCCTTGTTTTTCTCCCCCCAGGCTGCTGAACGAGAACGACAAGAGGCCATTCATCGAGGAGGCGGAGAGGCTGAGGAAACAGCACAAGAAGGACTACCCAGAATACAAGTACCAACCCCGGAGACGCAAAAACGGCAAACTAACGACTGCTAGTGAGTCTGATAGCCAGGGGGAAGGGGAGGCCAGCCACTCCCAGTCACACTACAAGACCCTGCATCTAGAGCACAATGGCGGGGCCGGGTCTCCCCTGGGTGACCTGCACCACCATCACCATCACCACCACCATCCTGCTGGTAGGTGGTTCTGTATACAAGATTTGTATTTTGACATTTTGTCAAGAAAAATGAGAACAGAACAGCACAATTCCTAAATAAAAGTTCACCTGATCATATTGTCCTCCTCTCTCCGCTAGGTCAGGGTCACAGCCCACCCACGCCCCCCACCACCCCAAAGACAGAACTCCAGTCTGGGAAACTGTCAGATTCCAAGAGGGATGGGGCAGCAGGAGCGGCCGGAGGATCAGGGGGGTCCAGGGGAGCCCTCGGGGTGGGGGCTGAAGGTGCATCCGGTGGTCCCTCGTCATCAGGCGCTAAACCCCACATCGACTTTGGCACCATGGACATCGGCGAGATCAGCCACGAGGTGATGTCCAACATCGAGCCATTTGATGTAAACGAGTTTGACCAGTACCTCCCTCCAAACGGCCACCCGCAGAGTGGAACCGGCGCCCCAGCAGCTGGATCCTCGGCCTCATCTTATGCCTACGCCCTGGCTGCTGCTAGTGGGCACTCCGCCTGGCTTTCCAAACAGCAGCAGCAGCCTCAGGCATCTCCGTCTTCCTCCGACCCCTCCAAGGCCCAGATCAAGAGCGAGTCTGCGTCTGGGAGCCACTACGCCGAGGCCTCGTCCTCTCCCTCCTCAGGCACCCATGTCACCTACACCCCTCTCAGCCTCCCTCACTACGGCTCCGCTTTCCCCTCGCTGGCCTCCAGGGCTCAGTTTGAGTATGGAGAGCACCAGGCCCCGGGGGCGTACTATGCCCACTCCAGCCAGGCCCCGGGGCTGTACTCAGCCTTCTCCTACATGGGCCCTACACAGAGGCCTCTGTACACTACCATAGGAGACCCCTCCAGTGTGGCCCCCTCTCACAGCCCCACACACTGGGAGCAGCCTGTTTACACCACACTCACAAGACCTTGAGGGAGACCAGCTGAGCAGAGGGAAATATGGGAAGCGTGTGAGTGGATCTGTGTGTCTGTGTGTGTGTTTGTGTGTGTGTCTGTGTGTGTATGTGTGTGTGTGTGTGTGTGTGTGTGTGTGTGTGTGTGTGTGTGTGTGTGTGTGTGTGTGTGTGTGTGTGTGCAAATACGCGAGCATGTGATTGTGTATATGTGTGTGTGTCCATGCCATATTGATGTTGTATTAGAGGTTTTTACTTTTTTAGCCAATATAATGCAAGACGCATCCACGGGGCCTTACACAGATGAATAAAAAAACAGCCACAAACTCACACAGTATAAGGTGTGAATCATGGGTCAACAGCCAATCAAAAGATAAATAAACTTTAACAAATGTGTGCCATCAAAAATATATGAGTTGGGATGTACAGCAAGTTTGTATACAAGAGACGAGACGAGTGAGAGAGACACTGAGAGTGGATAGATGTGGACGAGTGACTCAGTTTTGACCCAGACGCGATGGGTTCAGACTGACATAATCAGATTTTATTAACCAAACTAAAGGATGTTTTTGATGTCATTGTGTTATTTTATATGAGTAGTAACTTTATTGTCATTGTTGATATCCTAGGGTGTAACTTTATTGTGACTGATTTGATATTACACTTACACATCTGCACCACTGCTTTGGGAAAAAGCATGTATTGTTTCAATAAGATGTTCCCTGGGGTTGTTGTTTTTTTTTTCGTGGCCAGAAAAGGATAGTTGCAACCTTCTTTCTTTGTAGATAGCACAGTCTGTATTTCTGTCCTTTCTTTACATGGACTTCACTGAACTGAGCAATTAAGCATTTAAGGGGAAAATAGGAAAAAGAGAGGGAAAGAGAGCTCTTAAAGGTGTATTTCAGCTTATCGCTCAGTCTTGGACACTTACCTCAACTCTTTTCATTTTGTGCCAGTAGCAAAGGAGGAGTGTGACCCTGGATACCTGATCGACTGAGGGTATTCAATATATCAGAACCTTAAACGTCCACTTCAGTCTTCTTTTTTGCTTCCTAAGTGCCTAACATTTTTTGCTGATTCACATCTGATTTATCCAATTACTCAGTTAAAATCTATAAGCACAAAGTCTCAACCAAACCTCTCCAGATAATTGGCTAGCTTTGGGTCCTACTTAAGGATTAGAATCACATGTATGACCATTCTGCGCTGCATGTAGGCCAAAAGCATGTTTTAGTCTTTACAAATAGCCCTCTTCCTCTTCAGCAATGTGAATAATGGTCATTACCACAGGTTTCACCTTTATTAAGTGATGCATACTTTATCATTTTATACTGACCCTCTTACCATGTAGTTATTATTTTTATGTAAGTAATAATGCATTGTGTGTCACAACTTTGCTTCTTCCATTTTGTATAATTCTGGATAGTTTTGTAAAGTGTTTGCTATACATTCACTTGAGTATTTTGGCTTCCTTACAAGAAAAGCAATGTTGAAATATTATTGTTGTCATTTATTAAATCAATTTATTTATAAAAAAAAAAAAAATGCTGTGTAAGATCGTGGTTTTATGTGGCAGTGTTGGTGTGGAGAAAACACATGGTGCAGTTAGCAAGTGAAGGGTGAAAAAAATTAAAATTAAAAACACGCTGCTGACGTGTGAACTGCAATAAAAACACAATCGGCGCCCCACCAACCTAAGCTGTTTAGTGTGTTTGTGTGTTGTAGGCTAAAATTGACTACTAATTCCCCACATTTAATCAGCTGGGGACTGCGTGTTACTGAGAAAGACAAAGAGAGCCATTCAGCGAAGGAGAGGGACAGAAAGAGAGAGAAGGGGTGGGTGTAAAGAGCCAGAGGCAAGGCCAATTTCAGCGTAACCAGCGTACACTTGGACTTTTGTACATGGCTCTCCTTTCACTCTGCCCTCTCCTCTCCACCTGAGGCTGCCTCCCTGCCTCCACATTCAGCTGCAGTTAAAAACTATTCAGATCGCATCCAAAAAACTAAATGTCAAGCTCATTGTTCTGACATTGTGTTTGAGGGTGATGTAAAACAAAGATAATGATGGAGGCAGTGAGATGTTACAAAAGAAGAGGTGAAGGTGGAATTAATTTGGGAAAGAAAGGGAAAGTATTCTCAGGGTATGGGGAAAGTTATGTAGATTTCAACAGAAGAAAAAACATACATATAACATTAAATACACAGTGCACACTAAATTAATGAATTTAATATGCTGTGGATTAACTCTTTAATACATCCACACAGGTTATCCACAGACTCCGATCCTTATGAATATACATTGGAAGGGAGAAAAATAAAAATAAAGTTAAATCAATAGGAAGCAGCCTATATTAAACTGTTGTGGCTGTTTTACCACGCTCCAAAATCCTGGGCCACTTAGTCTGCAGAGTATCTTGTTTTGACTGGTGCTCCACTGAGTTAATCCAACCCTTATCTGAAAACCCAATGTACTCACACTTAGGCAGGAACTTGAAGAGGGTTTATTTCCATTTGCCAGCGTCACAGCAGGTGATTTGATTTTACATCTCAGCCGGGTCCATTACAGACTTCATGTTCTATATTCCCATGGTGCTAAATCTGTCACATTTAACACAGTCAAAAACTTATAATGATCCAAACTCCGCTGACCTCTCAACCTTTTATCAGTGCTAGCTTACTCAAAGCACCAAAGTGCTTTATGGCAAATCACCTGTCGTAAATTACAACAGTAAACTATAACTGTACACTTTACGACAAATAATAGAAAAAGAAGTGTGGCCTTAGCATAATGGACTAATCAACATACGCAATGACTATTATACAGACTTTGATAAATTTGGAATCTAAATAACATGTCCTAACAGCATATTATTATCAAAAAAAGTTATGTACTTAATTGGCTCTAACACTAGACTGATTGTGGCAGTATTTTCATTTTATGCTACTTCTTACTTGTACTACACTTGACTACCAAGGTAAATATTCTACTTTTTACTCCACTGAAATATTTTTTATAAAAGATGATGCATTGTTCATTGTACTCAGCTGTATTCCCATACAAGATAGTTCAAATTAACATCACAGTGCTGCAACCTCAAGACGCTGATTACATATCAATGCATCATTATTATTACCAATAATATGCCATATTATAAAACTCTTAAAGGGGCCATTTTCTCGTCATTTTTATAGTATTTATTTTGCTTGTTGAGTATTTCTAATTGTAATGGAGTAACCTATTTGTCAGTGGTGGAATGTAACAAATTACATTTACTGAAGTACTGTTCTTAAGCATACATTTTCAGCACAACAATCTTGTGCTTTACTTGAGTAATTTCAGAGGTTCAACAGGAGGGACTCACATGCACTAACATGCCTGCACTGCCAAAACAAAGAATAGAGAAACACATGTAGAGAGGGTGTGACTTTGTTCTCTGCTCAGGACGCCATTACTCCACTATATCTTCACATAGAAAGTAGTTGTTAACTGCTGTACTAGTTTTTAAAATCTTGTTTACAGTAGCCTTAACAGGAGCCAGGTGAGCTCTAAATTTCCAGGTCAGACTCAGGTCAGTCTCCAGACCAAGTGGTGGCAGTCATGAGCCTACATCTTTAAATACGACGAAGAAGACGCTTTTCCGGGGGCGCCAAATCCGGAGCAGACAAACACAACACCAAACTCACAGAAGTCGCCGTAACAGGTAAAGAATTGGCTTTATTCAGTTTTGTCATGAAATGTGCTACCTTAATGTTTTCTCGAAACAACCGAAACTCAGCATTTAAACCGAAAACATCTGCGTATTTTTGTTAAGAAGGGTCCGTCTCAGGAGTTTGAACCGTATCAAGTGTGTAGCATTTAGCTACAACATCGTAACACAGTACAAGAGCTACACAGCGTGTGTGTATGTGTGTCTGTGTCTCTTCTTGATTTAGCACTTTTCACCTACTTTAACTCGCAGTTCTGAGATATTTTAGGCTGTCTTGCACACGCAGCATGTTTAAGATCTACCCGCAGATTTCAAGGCAGAGACGTTATAGAGATTATTAGGACTTTGGGTCAGGTCAGGGGACTGTGAGAGCAGCTCCAAACGCTTCAGCTTATGTTTCTTCTGCCAGCAGTCATGGATCTCAGTCCCTTTGAAACGGACAACTCTGTCAGCTGCCGGCTGGCTTCTCAGATCCCAGATGTCTGCAAGATGGAGGACTGTTGTTTGGGCATTGATGAGGCAGGCAGGGGGCCTGTGCTGGGTAAGCCAATGAGATAATGATTTGATGTTTATTTTTTAGCATTGACCACACAGTGAAGCATGTAGTATACATACTTATACTATTTGTATTTTGTTGATCCAGGGCCCATGGTGTATGGAATATGTTTCTGTCCTGTTTCCAAAAAGGGGGACCTGAAGAACTTGAAAGTGGCAGGTAATAATGTTGTTGCCAGTGATGAAGTTAACCAGTTCACTATTTACCACCATTTGTCAACCAACTGTAGCTAAAAGATGGTACTTTCAAATCAATATGCATACTGAATCCTGCATAATTTACTCACTCGCATTGACACACAATCACACATAGATTCTGAAATTGATGCATTTTATTACTCCTTTAATAGATTCAAAGACCCTAACAGAGGCCGAGAGAGAGAAGCTTTTCCAAAACCTGGATGAAGCCAGAAATTACGTGGGCTGGGCACTGCAGATTCTCTCCCCCAACACAATCTCCACCAGCATGTTACAGAGGACAAAATACAACCTGAATGCTCTTTCGCATGATACAGCGATTGGTCTAGTGCAGTATGCCTTGGACAGTGGAGTACAGCTAAAAGAGGTAGGAAGTAATTTACATTTGTATAAATGTTTTATTGTGTTGTTTAGGTCATTTTGTACTGCGCCTGTATGGACTAATTGTCCTTTAATGTAGGTCTTCAGCCATATGGAGCCCATTTCACATCTTTAGTCAGGTTATAAAAATGCAATATATCCCCAACTTTCATGCAGCTTCACCATGTCTTAGACTGTGCTTACAGGCACCTATGGTGATTATCCTTTTTGTGTCAATTGAATGTACCAGAGTTAACTATAACTGATGCAGGTGCTCCATATGAGCTTAAAA